TTTGTCCGTTCTGGGCTACTGTTGAAACATAGCCGTTCAACATGGTAGACTCCGTAGAAGCTCATTCTAAGGTAATGAAAACAATTCTTATTTTCAGGTTGTTATACACTCATGAAAACATGAATATTATATTCCATTTCTGTCAATAGATCCTCGTAAATGTTACACACTGGACTTTTAATTAGACCTGACGTTATTGTAATTTTACAGTGTAGAGTCAAGTATAAAATAAACATGGAGTCAGAGAAAACAGGAGAGAGAATATGATAGTAAACAATTAAACAGACTGCCATGAGAAGAAAAAGAGGAAGAATATACTAGAAGAAAAACAAGAAACGTCAAGGTTTGGCCGGTGGTTATTAGACAGAATTTCTCTTCCTCATTCTCAGGAATGTCTACTGAAAAGAATGTCACAAGACAGTTTATGACTTGACTTGAGTTTATGACAAATTTAACATATAAAGCATTCCAAAAAGTATTTATAAAGTTCATAGCTTATGTATATGGTATGAACATTTAATAATAGTGGTATTCTTTTCTATATTTTAGCACTGTTCTATAGAGAAATTGTTTGATAAATAGTTCCGTTACATTAATAATTTATGTGCTCCATATAATTATTTCAGTGGCTTTGTACTGTTGAACTACTTAATTTGTTCTCTCATGATTTGTGCCCTTGAGATACTGGATTAATTGACCCTTCCTAACCCCAACCCTTTTGGAACCTGGTTAACTTTCTCCCTTCCTGTAGGTTACTTAAAAACCTATGCTAGGTTTGTCTATATTGAAAACCACATTTTCGAAGATAAAAGTGTTTCGCTATTTTTTTGCTAACATTAGCTAACATATGTCGCTTTTATGTTTTAACCATCTTTAAAATGTGGTTGTCTTTTCAATATCAATATCAGTCTTTATTGTCATTTTCACAGTATATACAGCATTTATAGCATTTTACATACATAGAGAGCCTAGCACATAGCATATCTCAGTACAGTAAAGGAGAAAGTTGAAAAAAGATCAAAAAGGGACGGGACTTAGGAAGGGTCATTTTCCTTAAATTGATAGCATTTAGTTATTTAGATTGTTTGCAATAAAAACTTTGATGATACTGCAGTTGTCATTCAGCATTCTGGAGCACCTTCTTGTTGCTCTCTACCTTGAATGCAATTTCAGGAAATTGATAAAAAGTATCATTTTCCTAAACTGAAGGAACGATTTATTTATCTCTGCAGTGCTATGAAGCACTGATTCATCATACTGAGGTATCTCACACAGACACACAGGTAGATAAATTGTTAAATATAGATGCAATACTTAATGGTAAAAAGTCAAGTTTTTCTTTTCCTAATCTCGAACCCAACATCAGGAGGCATTCCTGTGGAGTGTTATCAGTGATATTTGGCAAGTTGGACTCCAGTTGGGGAATTGTGAAGTTCTCATCAGTTTGTGAAGCCAGCTGTCCTGAGATTGTCCGGATATATTTTTAAATTACTGTGTTAACATTTGCAAGACAAGGTGGCTGGCAACAAACAAGAACAAAAACTTTGATTGAGTTGTTTTCTGATTTGCAGTCTCCAGTGTTCCAGAAGTATCACCGTTGGAGGCGACTTTTGTGAGGTCCTTCAGCAGAACCTCCACCGGGTAATGATCACTAACCTCCAGTGCCTGAACAGAAACCACAGAGGAAGCTGTTTAGCACAATTCTGTAGAACAGAATTTGGCCTTTATGTAGTTCTTTACATATTTTACTGTTTTAGTTCTCTTTGTGAAATTGTTTCACATTTACATGTTTATACATGGACACACAGCCTGTTACCTGCTCCTCTGTGAGTTGGTATTCCATTTGGAAGTTGAATGGTTTGGCTGAAGAAGGCACAATTGCTCCGGCAAAACTTTCCCCGTGTACGACGATCCTGTTGTAACACACAGAATGGACGGACCAAAATACATATTTTACTGGTGTTTTCTCATTTTCTTACTTGAAAGATGAAGAGGTAAGAACCAGCATTTAAAACAGTTTAATTTCAGTGGAGTTGCTTTGATCAGCAGGGCCTGGTAAAGGCCTGGTAAATCTTCAAGCTCAATTTTGGTGAACTGACACAGGACTTTGCATCATTGACACACCAGAAGATGTATGGATTGTAGCCCGTTATGAGCCACAGGGCAAATGGTACAAAAATGTCTTTTGAAAAAACTCTAACTAATTTTACCATTAATTTATCACCAAGCTCATATAAAGTACTGTACCACTCATATCTGGTTACCTTGTTAGGCTGCTGGATTTGCAAAATCACATGAGGCTCCATTTTGCAAGGCTATGTGCAGTAAGATGCAGCGAGAATGACTTTTCAAAAACAAGAATGGTGGCTGCTAAAGATGTTAG